GTGTGTGTGTATATAGTATTTTTCATATAGTAATAGAGGTGTGGGCATTGAAGAAGTTGAACGGTCTAGTAAATAAAGTAGAGGTGTTTACCTTCTGCGACTTCAATTGCGACCTCGACTCTCGGATATATAGAATAAAACCTAACAGATACACACCGAATTCAGCTTTGCCCGGAATTCGGTTGCTGGTAACAATTAACACACGGTAACTAAACATAGACTTGTCTTACAGTTATTTCCGCCACCACATGGTATATGTCACAAGATGATGCAAGAAATGGACATCGACGAAAGTGCGTCAGACCTGTTGATTTCGCAGTCGCGGAGGAGATCCAGTGGGTCCGGAATCAACCCACACCCGCCGCCATTGGATCAAAGGAATAATGTTATGGGAAAGGTATGTGGCACTTTATATATTTCGGAGCGTGTGGATTCCTTTCACTCAGTTAAGTGTTAGTTAGACAAGCTGCCGCCATGTGATTAACGGAATCATGTCGTTGACAAGGAATTTAACGCTTTGCCGGACCTAAAGCTGAGATATCATAACCTCGACCAGTCTTATACAAAAGTATACTCCGATTCACTCAGACTATTTTTTATGCAAAAGTTTACTGATAGTTATGTAGCCATTTGTTTCCAATCTTGTGAGACGTTGTGGCTATTTGCATTGTTTTGTCAGACCTATCGGCATTAAAAAACCTTTAAGTTGTAATATATACATATATATATATATATATATATATATATGTGTGTGTGTGTGTGTCTGCGGGTGCGGGTGCGGGTGCGGGTGCGTGTGCGGGTGCGGGTGCGTGTGCGTGTATATATATATGCGAAGCGGGGATGCTCTGTGATCTATATCGTTGTTGCCTGCCAAGTTCATTTCGCATTTCAGTTGATGTTAACCATAAATCTGCGCTCTCAAATCCATAAAATAAAATATCAACCCACCTTCTACTGGTATGCCGGGTCGTCTCAAGCGCTACACAGCCGACACAGCGGCCACCTTTAAAGTTACAGAAAGACTCTTTGAGTATATTGCTGCATGTCTGTGGATTACATAGTACGCCCTTGCACAATGTCGATCGCTGTATAGCTGTATCATTCCCATAGGCGCCAGTCAGCTTGCCTTCAATAGCACCTAGTTGTTAGTGCTTTAGTCGTCTTCCATACCCACTACAAGTGATAGTTTCCTATCTGTTGATTGGTGGAGTGGTCTACTGTTTTCTCGCCACCATGGTCCGCTCACGCAATCTATCAGATGCGCTGCGCTGTAAGGCAATACTCAGCCATGTAGTCCCTTCCAATAGCCTGGAGTTGCATGCATATACTATTCTTCTGATGTTTAATCTAAGTTGCATGCATATACTATTCTTCTGATGTTTAATCTAAGTTGCATGCATATACTATTCTTCTGATGTTTAATCTAAGTTGCATGCATATACTATTCTTCTGATGTTTAATCTAAGTTGCGTGCATATACCATTCTTCTGATGTTTAATCTAAGTTGCGTGCATATACTATTCTTCTGATGTTTAATTTATGCTGCATGCATATACTATTCTTCTGATGTTTAATCTAAGTTGCATGCATATACTATTCTCCCTATATTTAATCTAAGTTGCATGCATATACTATTCTTCTGATGTTTAATCTAGGACTTTTGTCCCACCTATGCGGTATGTAAAAATCCGCAAATTCGGGGCGGCGGTCTCCATTGACTGAGCCAATTTCTCATTCTTCTCGTTCCAAATTGCTTCACAGGCTCTGCGACTGGAGTTCATCCAAATGGTTCTCAAATCCAAATTCTGTCAAGCGCTGATTCGGATCGTGATGCAGATATGCGAAATCTATGAATACTCGCGTGACTCAATAAAGTATGTATGTCATCACAGTATGCCATCCGTAGCTCCGATGTGGTGCGTTGGATTGCATGTGTGCACGGAATAGTATTGTTTGTCAGTTCCATACGCTGTAGTAATAATATAACAGCCGCATGCAGTTGGGTTCATTCACCACTCGCCTCAAGGCATTGATTGTTGCTGCCATGATTGTAGTACAGATGTGAGGATGGGATCTCAGGGGTATGGGTACTTTTTCTGCTTCCTTTTTGTATATGTACGCTCATGAGTGTACCTGGTCTGTATCACGTTCGACAGCCCACCCAGGGTATGATTCTTCATTACCGATGCTGTACTTGTGGCCTTAAACCCGATTCGTATCCACATTTTCGGTCGCTTAGTCACATTCAAGTGCTTCATTGCTGAGTTATAGTCCCTCGATGCCTGGTACCCTTCATTTACTGCTGCCATGCATTATTATTATGTATTGCCATGCAAGTATACAGTTTATTATTACCA